CCGCCGGGCGGCCGGTACCGGGCGCCTGTGGAAAGACGCGGGCGGGTGTCCCCGCCTGAGGGAACGTGCGCCGGCGAAGGGCTCTCTGAATTAATTAAGTTATTGTAATGCGACATGTCATTTTTTGCGGAAGAAGGTGGCGGCCTGGGGAAGAAAGGTATTGAGTCCATGAGAGGCAAAGGCAGGCTTGGCGGGACAGGGAGGAGGAGGAGGAGGAGGCAGTAACAAATCAAGCGCGGGACAGCCCGGGATGAAGCGGTTTGCCCTTCCCGAGGCAGGGGCCGCCGGGGCACACCGAGCAGCCCGCTCATCAGCGTTAGCCCTTTCAAACTGTTTCTCCGCGCGTTTCTGCTGCTGTTGTGGCTTTTCTATGATTTCTGTGAAAAATAATAAAAAAAAAGCCGTATGCTTCTGACGTCTATGCGGTTTCAGTAAAGAGCGAGATTGGCTTCCCTGCCTTCGAGGAAGGTTATGTCTCGTCTGTAAGCTTGGGAAGAGCCCTCTTGTCCAGCACGGGGAGGTTTGTGCGAGGGACCAAATATTCTGGTGCTGTTCTGTGTTGAGAACTCGTTGGAAAGCCCCCCTTCATACCGGTGCTAACTCTTCTCCTAACTCGAATTTATATGTTATAAGGCCTTTTTACTTTTTCAAATCTTGCTGGAAAACATGGAGATGCTTATTTTTCTTTCCTTTTCTTTTTTCTCCTCTTTTCTTTTTTTTCATGTAATTTCAAGGCCATTTAGTATGACCCGTGTGGCATAATATTGGTGGGATTTTTATGGAAATACTGTGTTTTGCATGGCACGAGGCGTTGAATGCAGCTGCACGTCCTCATATTACATCAAATGCTTATGGGATTTACTCGGAGAGTTGTTTTCTTTTCGTGCTTCAATTGTATTGTAGCAACATAATGGTACAAACAAACACAGCTGGAAATCATTGTCCTGAACATAAACATTTACAAAACCCAAAATGTGAAACCTGAAACATGAGACTCAAACTGTGAACGTCCCCCTGAGATTAACAGCACTGCCCGTGTAAAATTAAACTGGATAAAATGAAGCGTGTGTGTAAGGGGTGGTAGGATTTGGGCACGAAATAGTGAAAGCACCAATCATCAGCCTGAACAATTTTTTTGAATCGTACTAAGACCAAATGTTCTAGGTCTGTTGTTTTTAAAGCTGCTGATAATTGTAGTGCCAAATTCTGATTTCTTAGGTTAAAGAAATGTTGCTGGAAAGTAATAATTTTTAAATTAACTGCCAATAAAAATACAAATTTTATACTTTATGTTATGTGCTACTCAGACCTTGAAGCGTCGGAACTTGTATGTGAAACAGTTTATAAACAAAATGGAGTGTTTTAATTAGCCTAATGAAGTAGATGAAGCAGAAAAGGAAAATTGGCCACTCAATAAAAGACAATCAATTGGTTAGAGTATAAAATTTTATGGAATATACAGTCTTTATGGAATTTACTTGCAAATATTAAAATGTTATGACTGCTTTTTGGAAACAGACATCCTATTCCAGTGTGAGCATTTCCGTAGGTAATCTAGTCAGAACATTAGTTGGTGTTCGATGTTTAGTTTTAATCACAGAATTCTTGGCTGTGCTGAAATGTCTTGTAAGAAAATCCATGGAGTTTGTGTTTCTCAGTGTCGATCCTTTCTCTGCCTGTAAAGGTACAATCCTTGCTGAAATCAGCGGGAGGTCCCTACTGCTATCGGTGCGAGCTGAAGCAAGGCCCTGTGGAACCTCAAACATTTAATATGAAAATGGGCTCCAAAACAGACATTCAAGGAAATGCTTTAAACCTTTTTTTTTTCCCCTTCCCTCCCCCCGCCTTACTTTTCAGGCAGGAGGAAGACCGTTTTTTTTTTTCCCCTTCCCTCCCCCCACCTTACTTTTCAGGCAGGAGGAAGACCAGTACAGTTCTAAAAGTGAGATGCGCTGCTTTTGTGGTTTTCACTGGCTGTTGGGTTTGTGTGTTTTCTGCAGGTCTTGTCTGTTCCGTGGCCCTCTAGGCGAGTTGGAAACTTGGGGGAATGTGCTTGTGGAGGAGGTTTGACTTGCCCTGCAGAGATACTAATTTAAGTTGACTCTGTTTTCAAAACTCCTTGTATGGTTTTTATGTCGATGCTGACTCAGCCGTTATCGACACCAGCCTCAAGGTGGTCTCTGTGACACACACAGACACCAAACCTTTCTGGTGTCATAAATAAGCTAAAGCAAATAGGTTGGGTTTTTTTTTTATTGGCAATTTTCTGACCATGCTTTACTTCATTTTTTCAGCATCTAAAATACGTTTCATAGTCTCAATTTTGTCTATGAAAGGGACCTTAAGAAAGTGAATAAGCATTTATAAACGCTTTAAGATCCTCATTGTAACGTTGCTGTAAAAATGCAATATATTGTGACTGCATAGCTATGTTACATTTTCCTCTGACTTTGTCCTATTTATTTTCAGAACATGCTTGAAGAACTATTAATTCATAAGCCAGATGATCCCATTCAGTATATGATAAACCATTTAAAGCAAAACAACGATGATGGTAAGTGAATATTGAGGCACCATAAATAGTTCAATTCCTTATTTGTAAACAGCTGTTTGAAAGCTGCACTTCAGTTGGCAAATGATGGATATAAACTTTCCAGACTGTGTCTTGAGGGGAAAAAAAAAAAAAAAGAGAAAGGTGAGCATTTTGGAATAGTTATAGGTAAGAAGCTTTTAATTTCTTTTTTTAGTGGGTAATCTAATAAAAAATGCACTTTAACAGTTATAACAATGAAACCCTCGAAGGGAATAACAAAGAGTTCTGGTGTATCAATTATTAATGCGTTCTGTGCCCCATCTGATATATCCTGTTGTCTTTAAGCTCGCTAATTACTCCTTTTGTCAGGTGTAAATTTGGTTTCCTATTCTACCTGGGCTGGCAGATTCTCTGTTTTTTGATTAGTTAGTTACTAGCTGCTGTTAATGAGTTCCACTGCTCAGTGGCATCTCAGACGAAGGAACCGTGAACATGCCTACTTGTATGTATAACAAAACCTGGTAAATTGAATAGGAAGCCTGTATTCTGCACAATAAAAACATGTACGCTCAATCAAATTATTTGATTTACAAACTGTTCACCCTTAGGCAGATTATATTTGGATATGCACAACTGAACTATAATTTTTGTTCTGCGTGAGCTGTCAGGGGTAGCTGGTGTCATGTTGCTTTGATGTTTCTTTAAAACCATAGTAAACCATTATGAAAGTTCTGCTGCAGCATCAATGAAATCATTGTCACTAGAGGTGCTGTGAGCTCTTAGTGGTGGTGATCAGATGGATGTTGACTGAAATGCTGCTAAATATATATAAAAAAAAATCAAATCCTGCAAATTGTGTCCAGCTTTTTCTGATGGGGGCAGCATGAGTAGTCAATCTGTTTTATAGACCCATGGAAAATACGCAGAAGAATTTCATGCGGTTTGATAGAATGCTGATAAAATTTCTTCACATTGAGCTAACATTTGTCCTTAAGCACCACAGTGTTATATGAACAGAATTAGGCAGGTTTCCATTTCATAACTTAGAGGCTAAAGATAGAACTACAGCAGTTGTTTGTCAAAGGAAAAATGCTGTCTGGTTTTGGTCTCGAAAAGCCTATTAAGAAAGGGAAGGAACTCCAATTAAAATTAAAGCCTAAATGTTGTTTTAAGAATAAATTATATGGAAAATAATGTAACATAAATCTGTAGCAGAGTTGATTTTACTTTTTGATCATGGCGGAAGGTGCTGACTATTTAGAAGAAAAAAAAACCTTATTAGAGCCATCAGTAAAGTGATGAATTTTCATGATCTTGCCTTGCTAGACAGTTTTAGCCCTAGAGAAAATTTCAAACAGAGATGTGTGGAAAAGAAACATTGCATCTATCCCAGGTGTGAAGTTAGAAGACCTTTTTAATTAATAATAGGATGTAAAGTACTCTTAAAAATATAAACAAGTCTAATGATGATTATAGCTTACAACTGTCTTGAAAATCTCGCAGGTCAGATGTGTGGCTAAGTGTTTGTGCATAAGGCTCTGTACTATTGTTCCTTCATTTGATCCTTCTAAAAGCCTTAAAGACCCAGATGAAGACTGATCATTCTTTCATATACAAAGATGCTAGTTTTCTACATTGTATCTTGGTTTCTGCTAATAAAAAAAGCTTTCAGGATCCAAGTGGCATTTCTGTGAATTCTTCCTTTACAGTCAAACCTCTGAAGAAATGTAAAAAAGTTCTGCAAGATTGTTCATCGTGTACTATGTGCTTTTCCTGTTTGACAAAGGATTTCTCTTGCAAGTTAAGCAAATTTTGTCGCATTAATATTAATCATAGGATCTTTTGGACTTGAATGGAACTTAGTGAGTCCAGCTGTTCTTTTGTGTTGCTCCAGGATTAATTTTGTAATTAATAAAATCATTGTTGAATGTTAAAACTTATTTTACTTGGAAGAGTAAATTCTGCAACATCTCATCAAGACTAAACATGGGATGGAATATGATTTGTTACTGAAGTAAAAGGCATTTTCTAGATTTTCCCCGACTTCATTTAGCTGCTGGTTCAGACTTCCAGTATTAAATACCAAGTATTTGCTGATTGGAGGGGGTTAAACATTACATACAGTGGTGTCCTGGTTGTGCCCTTGTGTCATATGTTTAGGGAGAATGCTTTACAGGAGTCTTACAAGTGTGCAAATGAGTAAATCGGTGAATTACACTGCCCCATCTGCTTCCAGCCACTAAGCAGAGAGAAAAACAGATTTAGTACAAAGTGAGCATTTACAGTAGCCCTGGGCAATATTAAAGCATGATATGGTGTATATAATGGTATGTTTCGTTTTTTATCAAACGTTTGTCCAAGAAAGCTGTGTATTAAAGCTTCAATACCTAAGGGTTTTCTTGTGAATTTTAAATCATGCTCCTAGTTAAACCTCAAAAGGATCTGTGGATGGAAAGGTTTTTTGATTTTCTTTGAAGTGGTTTGAAGAAGTTGATTAGTGTTGGCACCCGAGCACTCTTTTATGACGCTGTTTATAAATAATTCCTAAGTACCGGGCTGGAGTTTCAAGGTGTTAGATTAAAAAAAAACCCTAGGATTTAATCACATTACATTTGAAAGAAATTAGGTGATAAAAACAGCTGATGTATCCTTTTAAAGTATTTTTCTACATTGTGTACTAGTTCTGTTGCACTTGCAAGAACCAATAAGGGGGGAGTTTTTCTTAAACCTTCCAAGTCAGATAACTTTGTAAAGATGAATCTGTAATTTGGGTTTCATGTATGTTTAAAAATTGCACCTGCCCAATAACTGTTAAGTGCATGGAAGGCCTCATAAAAATACATTTCACATCCTTCCCTGTCTGCTGCCATCAGACACTGTATCTCCCTTCATTATCAAGAGCTGAAGAGGTTTTGGGGTGAGTAGATCCCTCCTCTGTTTTGACCGATGTGACTCCCAGTAAATACTCATCAGTCCCTTCTGTATATACTCTGTTTTGCTTTGGTTTTTTTCCTCCGAGGTTTAGAGGAAAAACTATCAAAGCTGTTAATATAAAATAGCAGCTCAAGGGATTGCAGCCCAAGGTGTGTTCATGGAAAAGTCCCACATACTTTCTTAAGCGTTACCCCATTTTCCCTTTTTTGTCTTGTCTCTAATTCATTCCCAATGAAGCTTACAACAGTAATGCCTATTGTGTTGTCTGGATGCATTAGATTAAGAATTCCTCAGAACTGGGATGTATTTTTCCCACCTTGCCCCCTCGGGGAAAGGAGAGGGACATGCACTACAGAAATACAAGATACAGAGACAAAGAAAATTACTTTCAGGGGCAACTAGAAAAATTGAAGTAGCTGTCGAAAAGGGTAGAGAGAGAGTGCTTAATTTTTGCAATATCTAAATCTTCTCTGAACCCTGACACAAACCTATTTAGATAAAACTAAAAAGTGAAATTGCATTTTTTGTGATGAGAGCCAAAAGCTTTGCCAAAGTAAAAAGTATTTTTACTACCATACTGTGTAAGAGAAATGAGAGATGATCTCAAGAAGTCCCATCCAATCTCAACAATTATATGATTATGATAACAGTCACTTTTAAATAGTCTTGTCCTGCATATACAAGCTAAAATATTTTTTTATCACAAAATGTGGTAGGTCTAAATCAATGTCTTGGGAATAAAAGTCAAACTCTGATAAGGAAATGTTCATATCTTATGCTCTGCTTCACCCACTAAACTGTCCATGTGATTAAAATGATTGAGAGAGAGATATGCTTGAGTGGCATGTTTAGTTGGACTATTAATCTCATTGACCATGGAGATTAAAGGAAGACCCAGCTGTCACTGACTTAGCATTTCCCCTTTTTTTTTCCCCAGTGGGGCCCAATCCTGAAGTCTCCATTCAGGCAGATTTCCAGCTGAAATAATTGTTTCATTGTGATTACATTTATATTATGCAATGCAATAGTGGGGAACTGGTTGGGATTTTTGCTGTTCCGCATCTTGACATTCACATATTCTTGTTTCTCAGCTCCAAGAATTTGTGTACTTGGTCCACCTGCTTCTGGGAAAACCACAGTTGTAAGTATGCTTCCTTCAAAGTTATAATACTGTCCAGTTGCCTTTTTACTTTCTACTGAGATCAGGACTTGTAAAAATTTTATTCTGAGAAGAGTTTTCAGAATTGTGAAAGTGATAGAGGACCACAAGAGAAGTTGAAGGCTGGCATTCCTAAGGGGTATGTCTGTATATTACACTACAGGCTAAATGGAAATGTTCAAGTGAGCTCTGTGAGAACTCACTCAGGTAGTGGTTCTGATATTGTGGATTGCTTCATTTGCATGGCCAGTTGTCTGTCATGTCCGCTGGTACTGCCTAATTGAAAATGTCAGAGTTCTATTTGAACCACAGAGGAAGCTGACCACAGAAACTTTGCAGATGATGGTGGTGTGTGCATGCTAGGAAGAATGCTTTCTTCTTGAAAATCTGTGTTATAGCACAGTAGATGAAAAAGACCTTATTCAAAGCTGTAGGCTCTTGAACATCTTTATAAAAAAACTGCTTAAAGTTACACAGATAGTCTGTTTACTTAAATAGAAGACTAGGAAAACATTCTGTCTTTGCAGCCTTCTGAAAAAATGCTTCATTTTCTTTCCAAATATTTCAACCTGGGTTTTTTTTTTTTCCTTCTTCCCTCAGGCAATGTGGCTTTGTAAACATTTGGATGCCATACGTATCTCTCGGGAGACTTTGTTATTCAAGGAAATATTAGCGCTGACAAAGGAAGCAAAGGCATATAAAGAAAGAAAACAGGTGTGTAAGAGGGTATAATAATAATAGTTCTCATGTCACAGAAGAGGAATTATATGGCATTCCCATGATTTCCACTGCTATGAATTGAGCAGATCAGAGTAAATATTCTTACATCTATGGTGGTTTGTACATTGGTTTGTATATATGTAGGGGTACAGGGTCTTTCAGAGAAGACGGGTAACCTCTGCTAGGTAAGAAGATATGAACAAAGATAAAAATGTGTCAGGGCATAGGGGCAGGAGAGGAAGACAATGTAAAGTAGTGGAGGTCTTGAAAACATTAACCTTGGACATGAGCAACAGAATTGAGAGAAGTCCAGGTGTGCAAAATACAATTTAAAGAATGGCTCATTATATCATTAAACAAAGCATCTTCTACTTCAGCATGTTTGATAATCTCAGTAAAATAAGCATTAATCTCTGAGGTCCCCTTCAGTACAAAATGCTCTGGAAAATATGTACACAAAGAACTTTTTTTGATCTGACAGAGCTCCTTAGTTGTGCATGCTTGATTTCTCTGTAGCATGACACAAATAACTAACTTGGTGCATTAACTCAAAAGCAGTACGACAATCCAGTCAGTCATTGAAAACCCTAGAAGCTCTCCAGCTGAGGCAATAGCAGCTGACTCAGGAGATCATTCAGTTCTTGGGTTGATGCGCTCTACCTGACTCCAAGTACCTCGTTTGCTCCAGACAGGTTTTTAAATCCATTCGTGCTTCATTGTGGGCCTCCTAACTAATGTTCAAAGGCATTGGTCCAAAGAACATTGTTTCTAGATGTCATGACTCACAGGATTAGTTGATCAGCAACGTAATTGTCTTGTTATTAAAGGCTAGTGACAAGTAGATGGGAAAAGTATGTTAAAAGAATATCCCAAATACACAGAAGTGTCTCTCCTTCTGATTCGTGTCCTTTCAGCTGATTCCTTTCTCCAGACATCAAGGTGTTTCATGAGTAATAGAATGGAAGAATGGTTTTCTGTGACAGTCTCTAGCAAGTCCGCTAGTTTGAGTTTCACTTTTCTCCCTTGTCATCTATTGTCATAAAAATTGAAGCAATTTCATTTCTGTGAGAATTCTACACTACTGATAAATTTGATTGAAACTGGCCAACAGATTCATAATTTGCTGAGATGGTAGCTGGTGTGATACATTTTTCCTTAGAAAACTAGGCTGAAAATAGGGTAGTGTTTATTACGCTGAATTAGTGAATGAAGTTTGGAGATGCCTTGACTAATATACTTAAAGATCCGAGAAGAAAGAACTCGCTGAACTTACTGGCAAAAAGGTTTGCTTTTGGCTGGGGTAATATAAAATGATTCTTATCGAGAATATGTACTTCGAAATCTTTGTTCTAATTATTCAAGATTGTTTTGCTAGATTCATAAATTTCAACTTAGAGGGGGAGAATTTGAAACAAAAATTCCCTTTGGTTTAATTACTGTAATTATTAACATATTTCAGACTATACAGATGCACTTTCAAGGGTGTCCTTTTGGGCTTATTTGATTTAAAAAGATGGATGGTATGGAAGATGAAAGTCAAAAATGTCAAGGCTAATCAGGTAATAAGGAGTGCCCGAAGAGCAGAATCTGGTGGTGGTTTGGTACTATGCAGTTTGCCTTTGTTTTTGAGATGTTATATCCTAGAAGAACTTTTTCACTAAATAATTTCTTTTTTTTTCTTTTATATGAGTTTGATTCTTCAAATGTAACTCCTAAAACTAGGAGGGAACTCCTTGCTTCCCCTCAAGCAATGCAAACTTTACAGACACTTAAAATGTAGCCAAATTGTCATCTCAAGAGCTGTATTTTCCCTTACTGATTCATGTCTGCTGCCTAAATCTACTTTTGCCGTAACTGACCCCTGGTTCTGCTGAAGCAAGTGGTAAACTTGACTCCTCTAGCATACATAACATCCATTAGCACTAAGAGGGTTTGAATGTCTATTCAGGAACAGAACAATAGCTGTTTATACTGTCTTTGATACAACCAGGGCATTAAAAAGTTGTAGTCCTGGCCAAATCAATTTATTAAATGGAAAGAGGAAAAGCAGGAACTAAGACTGTGGTTTTGAAATTCTGGTGTGAAGATCGTATAACGCAATTTAATGTTGTTAGAGGAACGTTTCATGCGTATAAGGTTACTGCGGCTAAATTAACCCCAGTGCCAAAGGTCATTCATTTTTAGGTCAGTAGGCCAATGTTACTAGATCTGGACAAATGCCACAAAAAGGTCCGCAAATGTTTGCTCACACGTTTTACTTACTTATCTTTAGCCAAGCTTTTATCTCTTTTGTGTTCGCTTCCAGTGAGCATTAGAGCATTTGAGTTTTCCTGGCACAAGAATTCATGGAAGGCGTATTTAAAATATGTGATTATTCTCTGAAGCTCAATTTTTAAAGTTGAACATGCAATCATTCACTAACATACACCTGGCCACTTACTAATGAGCACAGCTCAGGTAGTGAATTTTAAATATTGACTGTTCAAAGCAAAATGTGATTATTCTGCATGTAGAAATATTCCAAAAAGTCAAATATTTTTGAATATTCAAGAAATTTGAAGAACCACGAGCTATCAATAAATATTCCATGAACAGAAAAAGAGGCTACATTTTTGGATAAATCATTGCAAATTATTCCCTCATCTCTAGTTATTATAATGTTAATAGGAAGGACCTTCAGGTTTTTCTTATAGTGAAGTCTAATGATGAGCTATTGCACATATCACTTTTCCTGTTAACTGGATAAAATAAGAAGTTGAAACAACTGTAGTAATTGTGGGCTTATGGGGTGGGTGTGCTCTTCATGCTATACTAAACTGCAGTTAAGGTGTTTGCATGCCATGTAATGACTTAAAACTACTCAACAGTTGCATCATATCCCCCTGCTTTTTAAGGAGAAATATAATAGTAGAGAACTAAAGGCATCCTTAGCTATGCATGTTTGGCATTCTAATCTATTTCAGGACAAGCCACTATGAAGGAACAAATAGGAACTGTTCCAGTCTTGTGTACACAAAACCCCCCAGTCTTTCATCTGTATTTATCTGAACAAGCTAAAGCTAAACATTCATGATTTTCAAAATACTAAACCCAATTTCTTCAAACTTGACTGCTTTTCTCTCTGAGGTGCAAACTGTGAAGCAAACTAAGTGAGAAGTTTTCAGCTGTAGCTGTTTTCAGGCCGAATCTATCCAAAACTTCCAACGGAAATGTCCAGGGAAAGCGCTCCCCCTGCCCCAGCAACAAAAAGTGTAGCAGTTTTATGAAAAGATTGCAAAAACATAACTCTGAGTAGATAAGGCATGCAAGATGAAAGATGATGTCCCTGAAATAACATGGAATGTTTAAAATTAATCAGGAATGAGTACAGTTTTTCAGCAGTATGGAAATAGTGATTAAACCAATGTGTCTAGAAAAGTGGTCTGAACATAAAATACCATGGCTTTTGGAAGGTTTAATAAGTCAAGGTCTTTCCATTAGCTAAACTGGATGTTGGGACAGGCTCAGAGTGCCTTAGATGAGATACAGTTCTGCAGTCATCAAATGTATGTGTGTCATTGTCCATTATTGCAGATTTTTGGGAGGTGAGGTCCCATCTACCAGGCTCATGATATATTTATGTGAGTGTTTATGAGAGAGAAATTATAAATGTGCGATCTGATATGTATCAGATGTAATGATTTCTAGTTGAATAATTAGGCATTCTACGAGCAACCTATTGAAAATTATTTTGTAGGCCACTGCTCAGTAGGATGAAAACTCACCAGGAAATGAGACTGGAATTGAGCCACAGAGAGCAGAAGGAACTAAAACACTGAAATGCCTGCATATGTGTCCTCGATTGTTTTTGTGCAATAAACCCTGCTCAAGAGAGAGGACTAAGAATACCACTGCACTGAAAGAAGTTAGTGTAATTTTGGTTTAAATTGGTTTGGCAAGGCTTAGCAGACTGGACCCCCGGCAGTTGCTAGCCTGTCTTGACATGACACATCAAAGGAGTAAGCAAGACGCTAGCTGTTTCTGATAGCAGCGTGATGCACCTTTGGAGGGTGACAGACTCAAAGCCACAGACCCGGGCTCCAGCAGCGAGAGGCTGCAGGAGGCTTTGACGCACCACCCTATGGGACCTGCTGACTTTCAAGAAGCACAGCAATTTCTTTTCCTTTTTCTCTTTTACCTGCTTGAGTGTTGCCTTATGAATGGCTGATATTAGGAGAGGCACTGAGAACTGGGGACAGCAGAGATAAATAAAACAGGAAACCCCACTGCCTGACTGGGCCACCTTGTCCGTTCCACAGCCAGCCGAGGACTGGTCTCTTGTGTGTATTCTGGAGTCCTTGCTCCACGCTACTTTAAAGTGACTTGTGTGGTAGTGTTTCCATCACTCCTGGTGAAATTGTTTCATGATCTAATGAAGATGATTGTTATGAAATCTTTCTGCATAGTCACATTTTCACTGTATCTGTCTACATTCTTTAGTGTAATGTAAGCCTGCAGAAATATTCTTTTTTTATGATTATGCCCTTTAGACGGGTTGGTTAGAAAAAGAGATGGGAACCCACAATATATGGAGCTGCATGGAACAAAATGTCAAGCTCATGTGGTTAAGTGAAAGAATTTTTTGACTTGGGAAGTAGAGAATCTGACTGCAGAATTTTTTATGAGTATTCATTTTACCAACAATGATAAAAGTAATGAGACTGAGACAAGGCATTTAGTGAAATGATTAAATGCTCTGACTGTCATGGCCAAAGGTTTAGACTTTATCAATTTTAACTGCTTAACATAGTTTGTTCAACCAAGTTCAGCATAGAATGAAGAACTAAATTAACAAGATAGTGAAGAAAATTCTTACAAGAAGGAAAGAAGGGTATTGGTAATTTCTTGTCAGGAGATCTAATGCTGTAATGGAAGAAATATTAGGGGGGAAAAAACCCACTAAATCTGCAGAGGAACTTTGTTCTTCTGTCAGATAGCCAATACTGTCATCTGAACATCTCTAGATATGGGCAAAGTAGTAGTCACGGAAAGAAGCAGCACTTCTGAAAATCTTGGCACATGCCATTTCAATTGCATTTTGTGGTCCTGAGTTTAAAAATGAACTAACTTTAACATTAAAATTAACTTTAACATGTACTTCAGATAAACTTTCTGGATGATGAAAGATTGAGAGTTACTTGAAACTATGAAACAAATCTCCTGAAAATCAGACTCTTTCTGTTATTTGCTCTGTGTTTGAGATTCTACTTGTCTCACAGGATAGCTGTTAAGATCACTAAGGCTGAGCCCACTGGCGTATGAGGCAGTAGTGGGTCAGATACTTGTGGTAAAAAGGGCTACTTGTGGATGCCATGTTCTTACGGATCCCTTTGCAGGTTTGATGGCCAATGTGTGTGTTCGTGTGCAAAACTTGGCACCTCTTCCATGTTAATGTGCAAAAAGCATGGAGTAGGCTTTGTGTTCAGCTTACCTTTAACACTGATTTTTGTGCCCTTATTAACTCTTTGATATATTATGTTAATGACTTGGGACTTGCACTGACTTATTTATTTATTTTTAGGACGACATCTCAGTTCACCTTTAACCGGAATATGCCTGCATGGTAAAATTCTTTTTGAACTCAATTGTGAATATTCAGCCTTTTTTTGTTCTTTCTTTAGAAAATTCCCAACGCGCTTTGGGCCAATCTGATCCAGGAACGTCTGTCAAACGTGGACTGCATCAAACAAGTAAGAATTGCTCCTCAGAGGGCCGGTGGATAAGCACTTACACAACTCGTGCATAGTAGTTAGCATTCTGAGTCCTGAGCAGAGGAGGGAATGGGGGCAAATCATTGGGGGCTCTGGAGCGGATTGCTTTCTTGAACATCAGCAGAGGGAGTTTGGAGCTTTATTAACAGGATAAAGGGGAGGATGAGAGTATGCATATGCTAATCTGCTAGCACAGAGATGATCAAAGGCTGAACAAGCATAGCTTTGTTGATTGCCTGGGGCAACTGGCAGAGTTATAGTGGACAAAACAGATAAACAGAAAATATATAAAAATCAATAAGTTAAGATTTTAACTCTTATTGAGGAAAGGGGGAAAAAGGAGTCTAACATTATTCATATTGATTTTCTTTATTTCTCATTGTGTCTTTTTTTTCTTCCTGTTTTATGAAAAACTGCATTTGAATATATTCTCTTCTAGGTAATAATGAATATGTTCACTGTTAGTTTACACAAATAGGCAACTGAATAGGTTTAGCTGTATTCACAGATGGGTGGCTTTGCTCCCCGCCCAGCCATGTGCTTAGCCTTGATGTAAAGCAGAGACTTCTAACATAGAACCAAAAGAGCACTTAAGTAGATTAATATTGGTTGAAATTAATGTCTGGACTCAAGGAAAGCAAAATTTTTTATGTGTTTCCTTTAAAATCTCAGATGTTGTTATAGTTTATTGAGTCTATAATCAGCCCATTATAAGGGATTATTTGTAAGAGACATACTAATCTAATGGATAAAACCCTGTTTCTAAGCAGTGCCAAAACACAGACTGCACGTTATTTGATGCACTTCTCGAGAGGAGAAATTCTAGTCCAAAGTAAGTGTTATGTTCATGAAGGACTAAACAGCATTTTTCAGATAAATAGTATATGTTTTCAGAACAGTCACTCTGTCACACTCACACCTTTGGGTCAGGGGATAACTAGTACTGCCTGACCTCATGGAGATACCTACTTCGCTGTGCAGATTAGACACAGGTTTTAGGCAAAATGCATACTATTAGTTCAAGCTTTTGCTTTCTTCTTAAACCTTGCTGTTGTTTCTTTGAATTCCCTTTCTACACTGGTACAGTTGAGGCCTGGTAAGACTGTGAAAGAATTTTCTAGTTCATTATGTATAAGGACACGACCCTCTCCCCTTCTTTTCCAAATGGATCATTTTTTTGTGTGTTTTAGGATCCTGTGTTGTTTCTTCTATGCTTCATCATCTGGGAGACTGAAATAATGATTTATGGATCCTTAGGAATAAAGGAGTAAAGAGATTGGTTGAAAACCTAAGGGTTATAAATTTTTCTCTACAAAATACGGTTCACCTTACTCCATAATTGATCTATTAATTTTGAATTTGCAAAGTAGAATTAAACTTCTGCATTGTTAGTCACAGTGCTTGAAATGTATGGGCCTGTCTGGTTTCTCTTGAAAGTCTTTTTAGATGAGCTATTGTACTTATTTATTATTTAGCACTCCAGATCAAATATCTGATAGTATTTAATGTATTTGTTTATCTGTACTAAATTCACGCAGGACTTAGGCTTTTCAATTTGCAAGAGAACCTGTTTAAAAACACGCACGTGGTGTACCATCTTGTTCATTTCTGTGGCATTTTGAATTAAAGAGCATAGCTGAGGAACACTTGAGAAACCAGTATTGTCAGCTCTGGATATACTAGCAAATGAGCAGCAAAAAAAGACTATGAATGTCAACATTTTTTATTGTAGCAGTGCAATGAGATATCATGGATATACATCAAGTCAGGTGATTGTATGATTTACTATCTTGTCCTTGTGGCAAGATGTGGAACATCTATCTCAAGTGAAACTTCTCCTCTAGTGAATATGTTTAAAATATCTTTAAACCTGTAGAAATGAAAGTAAGTTAGAAAGATGATAAACCCAAGAGGGAAACTGCTCTTCTGACTGCTAACTGCTAGGCTTTAGGCTGGTTTCAGTCCTCAAACACAGCCCCCTCAGCTTAGCACTAACAGCTTTTCTGGCTGTGCTCCTAGTAGTTAGCAGGTAGGATAGGGAAGATGCCAGGACACCCCTGGTATTTTCAATAGTTTGGGTTAAATATTTTCTCACATGATCTGTCATGGTTTAACGCCAGTCAGCAATGAAGCACCACACAGCTGCTTGTTCAGCCTCGCTCCTGGTGGGATGCGGGAGAGAATCGGGGGGCGAGGGGGAAGTAAAACCCATGGGTTGAGATAAAGACAGTTTAATAGGACAGCTGAGGAAGAAAAAATAATAATAAAAATTATAAAAGAATATACAAAACAAGGGATGCACAGTGCAATTGCTCATCACCCGCTGACCGATACCCAGTCTATCCCCAAGCAGCAATCGCTGCCCCCTGGCCAACTTCCCCCAGTTTCTACACTGAGCATGATGCCCTATGGTATGGAATAGCCCTTGGGCCAGTTGGGGTCAGCTGCCCTGGCTGTGCCCCCTCCCAGCTTCTCATGCCCCTGGCAGAGCATGGGAAGCTGAAAAATCCTTGACTGGAGTAAGCCCTGCTCAGCAACAACTAAGCCATTAGGGTGTTGTCAACATTACTCTCCACTAAATCTGAAACTATACCAGCTACTCGGGAGAAAATTAACTGTCCCAGCCGAAATCAGGGCATGATTTCTCAAAGGCAGTAATTGCTGGGGCAATCTGTCCTCTAATGCTATCTGGAGGAGAGCTGTTGGATGGCAGTAGTTGCTGTAAACTAGCAAGTAGGTGAGTAACTCTTCAGTTTAGGGCTTTTATAGCAGTAACAGGACACATGCAGCTGATTTTTCCAGTGTTTTTGTGATATTGTTAAAGTGAGTTTTACTAACCATCAGTGTGTAAGCAAAGTCATTGCTCTCCAAAAGCTGCATCCACCCTGTGCTTTTTTTGGCCCCATGCTTTCTATAATTGTTGGCATGGTTCTAGTTCTCCTTTTAATAGCGAGGGAAGGATCTCTCAGTGACTGTTATTTTTAAGTATTAGATCATGTAAACTCTGACTAAGGTGATGAGATGGTTAAAATGCCAACAGCTGTATGTGTCCTGCCTACATTTTATGTTCTTCTTGTTATCACCAGCAACACTGAATCAGTGCTGGATGTGTTACAGAACTAGGAGGAAAAAAAACCCCTTTATAAAGCTTCCCTGACATTCAACAAGAATGGACTGGATGTTATTGGTCTAGTTAAGGTTTCAGCTATTTTTAGGTAAAACACATAACTGACTTTTCAAAGTTGTGATGGTTATTAAAAATCTTTTAATTAATTTGTGGTCACTAAAGCTTCCTCACATTGTGTATGTCTTTTCCATTTCAAAGGAGATCTATGCATTTTAATTGCAGTGTTTTCCTTGTGTGATTGGAAATAGAATTAATACTGTGGATTTTGTACTTCATTGAACAGATTTATGCCGTTTCTCTCAAAGCATGAGTCAGCATTTTTTTCCTGAGAATGTTAATAGATCAGGAGCCGTATGTTGGACCATAGTACCACCAGCTGTTTGTTTTATTTCTCCTTGTGGTGTCATTGGCTTGGCATTAATTGTACAGCTTTCATCCCAGTGACAGTAGGAATACAGAATTTTTTGTGCTATTGTTTTGACACTCACAGGTTTATAGATGTCACGGGCATTCTCTAAGGAGAACATTTTTATTGATCAACAACTCTGCTGAGGCTCTATGTTGTGTGTTCTTCTAATACAAATGTAGTTAGGACTGCAAGGGATCAGACGGGTAGGTGTTCCAGCACATGCAGAAAACTTATGGCAAGCTTTATGTTAGAACCTGGGACTTGTGGAGCTGATATGAAGACTTTTCATCTTACATGTTGGCTATGGCACCTCTGGCTACTGGTGTTGTGGAGAGAATTTATTGAACTGGGGGAGGCTAGTGAAGAGATTGCTACCTGATGAATTTGTGAAAGAGCAAGCTGAGCAACCTTACTCATGTCTTAGGACCATTTAGAAACTAAGCTTAGACGCGTGATTCACATGAGTAGTGGCAGAATTACTTTTGATTGGTATTAAACCCTTCAGAAGGGCAGTGGCTATCCTTGAAAGGGAAGACGAAGAGAGCAGTGGCTATCGGTTCTTTTTGGTTTTACCCTGGCAGATAAAGATCATCATGTTGTCTCTGTGAATGTTATATCAATGTATCCGGGGAGAAAATCTGCCGGTTCTTTTTTGTTTTCCAAGAAGAATGTGGCTTTTTTTTTTTTTTAATAATAGCTTCACAGCTTACTCAACCTACAAAAATAATGTGGGGAATGAAAGATTTCTTTCTAAAGGGAAATTTGGTGAAGTTGGAGCTTCTTCCATCATCCATGCTGCTAATGTTGGACTGCAGGAGCTGGGTTGACAATATTTCTATTGCACTCATCAGTGTGCTGTTTTCTGAAAATCTCAGAAGTCTTAGATCCCTACTGGCAAACCTATTACTGAAATTATTTTTTTTTTGCATTATTGTCTGTCCCCTTTCTTCAGATGGGAGTGAAAGGCATATAATACTTTTTCAAAAATACTGGATGAGGATGTGGAAAAACTGTTGTCATGAGCTGTTTTCCTGAAGGCAGCAGCATTCATGACCTGTGGTCTTTATGCTTGTGGCTGATATTTCTTTCACATGTGCCACATAATTCAGCATTATTTCTTTGTGCCATCCCTTTTCATTATTCTAAGGCAGTGTCAAATTTGGATTCTGTAATTAAAAAAAAAAAAAGAGAGACTGCAGGTCAAATAACAAAAAAGAAATGAATATCCAAGTCATCATTATTGGGGTGGAAAGTGTGAAAGTATGTAGGCTTGGTATTATAACGGAGAGTAGTGCCAGCAAAGGAATGAGATTTACATTTGGGAATGACCTTGAGCATTTCCTTTTCTCCAGATTGCTTAAATCTGGAGAGGAAAGTGATGGCTTTGAAAGTACTTGCTTGTTGCTGACTTTCAGCGTGGCATGGGTCTCCGAGGAGCACTTCACCTGGCATGGAAGCAACAGCAGAATGCTGTACTTACAGCAGTCTTATTGTGGGAAAGGATTGAGGTTTCCAGCTGAAAGAGAGGGAACAGTGACCACAGAGTAAAGGCACCATGGAATTACTCACTTTCAGCCTTTGTTCCACCCTTGATGTGATAAGGTGCAATCCACGCATGGATGTAAGGTTACTGCTATCAAGATCAAAAAATAGATGGCTTCTTAAAGAAACAAATTTACCATGTGAAGTTACTAATTACACTTTAATGATAGTCAGGAGGGCAAAAAAGACCAGTGTTTGCATAAAGCATGATAGGCATATTTTAAGTCAGGTCTTGCTCTGCTGTGTCTTGCTTCCTCTTGCTTCGTTCCCAAGCCACCCTCCTTTTTTTACACTTTTTTTTCTTTTTCTTTTTTTTTTTTTTTTTTTAATCTGTGACATCTGCTTGGAGCTTGTCCCTCCTGTGATACCATGCTACTTGCAGCTGTTCAGACCTCCAGCTCTGAGCTGTGCATGGGGTGCCCTGAGCATACGGCCTTTTTGATGTGTGATAAAACAGAACCAAGCCACTGGGGGTATGGAGAGGGAATGCAGCAGAATATCAATAAACCTGTTCTGAACAAAGCTGCAGCTCTGGTGGAATAGACATTTCACTGAAGTGTCAAGTAGATGGATAATGTATTCTAATTAGGGACTGACTGATACCCTGGAACTCAGAGACCTTTGGAAATAAGATCCAAAATGCTAACTATTTTTGTAGTGTGTTTTTATTTTGCATTTGTTTAATGCCTTAAACATATTTGTTGCAGGAAGCTATTTATTGAGCTGTTTTTTCTTACACTGCAAAAACTTTTAGCTATAAAATTGCTTATTGCCTGTTTTAAGGACCTTTGAAATTTGTATATAAACCTCTTGAATTTTGCCATACATTGTTAAAAAACCAATATTCTGTGTTTATTGCCTGTTGCTCAGTATGTGATTTTGAGCAATAAGCTGTAGGGACATCAGAAGCGATGGCTTTGTGGGATAGTTTTTCTTTGTTGTGTTTTAGTTTCCAGAAGTGTTGCACTTGGAGTGGAGAAAATGAGCCAGATTTGTAGTCTGTGTAAAGTGGCATAGATTTATTGGCTTTAGACCTCTGATGCTACTTCTCCCTAGAAGAGGATCTGGGCCTATATGTGTGTTGTACAGGCACAAAATATTCAGAACTAGTGCTGAACTTCCTAGCATACCACTAAAAATATTGTGCAGCCTTGCCTCCTGCAAGTCCCAAGGGATAAATTGATTTCTCAGCACCTGTGTGACCTTAGACAGCAGTTCATTCTAATTCGATAGAGCAAACACTGAGAGTGGCAAAAATGGCTTGCAGTTACTTGAGTCTCTTATTTTCTACAGATATCAGCAGGATGACATGTTCCTGAAACCAGGCTAATTAAGGAATTTTAAATAGTCTACTCTATTTTCTTGTATAATTGGAATGTCCCAATTTCCTCCTACAGAAGTCATGGAGATATGTTTCCCTGCAATACTTCTAAAACCTTTGGACCCCATACTGACAGAGCTTCAAATTTATGTGGGAGATGATAATGATTACTAGCTACTGCAATATTAAAATATTTTCTTTATTTCAGTACAAAGATGGTTTCCAGATTTATTGTAGTATCACAAAGTTATTTTGAGGCATAGGATATAGTGACCAAGGACGTGTGTGGTTAAGCAACTAACAGATAAATTAGACAAAGTTTAGAAGATTCAGACTGGGAAGTGGATTAGATTTCAAATACTGCATCACGCAGACACTGAGCGAGGCTGCAGCTCTCCTACGGTATTTCACAGATCTGTAAATGTTTTTTTAAAGATGCTCAATCCAACACTTAGCTGGCTATAACAAGGACTTAAGGGAGCAAAAGGCTCTTTTTTCTTTTTTCTTCCTTTGGCTCTGTTGCTTCATTAGCTTTGGGAACGCTGGTTCCATTACTGTGAGTTTTCCTGTATAATTTAAGAAAATAATGAAAGCGTGCATATTTTCCTCAGTGTTCTTGGTATTAAATCTGTCTTTAGATTTGTTTAGCCTCTTTTTTTATACACAGTGTGGGCTGGTATCCTTTTGAATATTTCAAAACTGTAGAAATTGTTTTCAGTTGTTTTTATTCAAGATAGAAGTTTCTCTTTTTTAAGATCGAAACATGAAAAAAAAAATCATTGCTGCAATACATAAGTTCTCTGTGGCAGTGGTGCATGCCATTTCACAAAAATATCAGTGCTCCATGTTTTCTTTCTTCTCTCACAAGCACCCCTAGCAAATACTGTGCTGTTGTGGATCAGAATGAAGTCATTTTTGTGCAAATAGCACAAAAAGATTTTGTATGTTCCCTTCCAGGATCAATAACTGTTTCATGTTTTTGTTCAATAGGGTTGGATTTTGGAAGGCTTCCCTGAAAATCAGGAACAGGCATGGATGCTGCAATCATCTGGCATCATTCCTAGGCACGTTGGTAAGCAGTATGAGGTTTATGTGTGATTGCATCCAGTAGAAGTGTTTCTCCCCCCAAATTCTCCACAAATCCAATACCGATACTGAAGACATCAGAGTCACCAGACAGCAGATTGTTTCAGTATGGTTCAGGTTCATTCAAAAACTTGAGGTAACCTGTGAGACTTTAAATCCTGTCTTTCACACGTGAACCCTTTTCTTCTTACTTGTTAGAGTTCTGTAAATAATTTCTGTAATTCTTTTCTGTCAAAAAAAGACCACTCCAGCGAGTGCTCTGAGCAGCTCTGTGCAGCTTTGCTTCTGTCCTAGGAGTGCGTCCAAATTTTCTCTGACTTCAATCTCTAGGAATCAGCCTTTAGTGATCCTCAGGCCAAAACAATTCCTGATGTACTAAATACAAATTCATCCTTGTGTTGAATTAGAGAATGCAAACTTAGCAAACTTCAGTCCACCAAATGAAGCGGAAACATCATGATTTTAAGCCTGACCTTTCAGAGTATGGGTGGATCCTGACTTGATTTGAGAGGAACATTTGACCTTGACCAGCTGCCCTTGCCATCTAGAAGAAGCTAGTTGTCTAAGGACCTACTTAGAATGTAAGAAATTATTACGGTTGTGTGGAATACAGTGTAAAATGATAAATGTAGAGCTTGCCAGTGGATAGTGAACAGAATGTTAGCGGACTTGATGAATTGTCACTTCGGATTTGATTTGGATGAGATTCGACTGTTAATGAAGAATTCAGAATCACTGCAATAGAGTTAGGCAAAAATGTTTAATGTCTAGTACTTGCATGTATTTTTAATATAGCTAATAACATCTGAAGTTGAGTTTTGCTCACAATTATATCTGTGCAACCAAGACCTGAATGAGAATCTTAAAGCTCAGTCTGTCTAGTTAATCAAAAAGAAGATCGAGAGGAGATGAGATTTACAGTGTATGAGTACCTTAATAGGGAGAAAAGCATCCGAAAGAGCTATTTGATACAGAGAAGAAAGTCATAAGAAGAACTCGTTTGAAACCTGTAATCAAATGCATTGAAAATAGTAATTAAATTACAGTGTTTAACTGTGAGGATGATTAGCCAAAAGCAACCTTGGGAACTGACAGATTCTTTATCTTTTGATGCTTTCTAATCAAGTTTGAACACTTTTCTGTGAGGTTATAAAAAATAAGTTTCAGTGGTCTCACTACCAAAGTACCTGGGTGAAAAGTAATTGTTTGTGGTATAGAAGCGAATCACTCTCGAGTGATCTGTGGGTACCTCAGTTTTAGGCTCCAGATACCAAGTGAGGGATAACATCGTTAATTGGTATGGATGATAGGGACAGTTAATACTGGACTGGATTAATGTATATTTATCACACTGTATTGCTTAGCAGGTAGAGCAAAACTCTGAAAATGAATAAAGCATTTGCAGGTAGAATACTGGGAAAGGAGAATGAGGCAGATGTGCCTGAAATACATTCACCCATCTTTAATACTGGGATTCATCTAAACAGTTACAGGAAATAAAGCTAATAACTAACAAGTGCTACACTTTTTTCTTTTTTTTCTTTTTTTCTTTGCCTAGTTGTGCTTTATGCTCCAGACACTGTGCTGATTGAGAGGAACAGTGGGAAAAGGCTTGATCCCTCCACAGAAGGTGCAGTATGTGTTTGTTCCTGATCTCCACTCGAAACTGGAGTGTTGCTTGGTCTCAGAAACGTTGTAATACCAGGGGGATTAAAATTTAAGAATTAGTATGAATTTATAATTATAAATTTAAACTATTTGGAAAAAGTATTTGTTGACATTGCATTATTTTCTGTGCCAATAAAATATGGGAAAATGTAAAGCTCAATACTGAGCCTGCAAACAGTATTCTGGCAGTACAGAATATCTGAAGGTTAGATCTGTCCCTATGAGCTTACATTTTGCTATGCATCTTTGCTAGATTCTGTTTTTTTCTGAAGTGCAGGTATGCTTTTAGCTATCTTCCTTTAAATTACTGTCAAATAGACTTAGCTCTGTATAGTCTGAGCATCATTATCAATCATCCATCACAAAATATTGACATTGCTCAATAAAGAAAAAATCACGTTGAATGTTTTAGGACTGGAACTAGGAGGGATGTTCTTAACTAAAGAAATGGCTTTTATTTGCTGTAAAGAAGATCTGCTTATCAAAGGTCTTGCTTAAGGTTCAGTGTAAGAATTTGGAGAGCTTTCCCAGTTCCTGGTTCTTACTCATCAGGCTGTCTTGGCTACATGGGCAGGCAGTTACCCTGGCCGCTTCCTATCTGTGCATCTGCAGAGTAAGAGCTGTCAGTACAGGTAGTGAGGGAAGTGCACAGCTTATTGCTTGTGCTACAATATAAAGCTTAAACAAAGACCTTGATTTTGTTTAGGAAATCTTTTGGAGCTGAGCAAGACCTATTAAATCAGCCTCTTGGTTCCTAATCAGTGTCTAACTTCCAGAGGTGTACCATACGACCTTTGACTGGCCAAGTGATCCGCTGGTACAGCAACGTTTGGTGAAACCAGAAGATCTGTCTGAACAGGAGATGTCAAGGAAACTGCTGAAATATCACAGAAACTTCCCTGGGGTTTTCCAGATCTACCAAAAAGTTTTGAAATCGGTCAATGCAGACCAGCCTTCTGTGGATGTCCTCTCCCAGGGTAAATATGTACCTTTATGGCAAATCTGATAGTTGATAAACCCTTATTTGAAAGGTAGTTCCTAGCAGTTAGAGACAGTTTGTAGGATTAGGATTAGTCAACACAGATGGCTCCCAGCTGAGTTGTGTTCTCTCTAGTACAGCGTTTGGGCTGTTCCTGGTAATTATTTTACAGGACTAGAGTAAGTGCAGATAACTGGAAAGTCTTAGTTCCACAGTCCTGGCAAGGACCAGCTGACTCAGTAGAGCAAATGTCACGGTTATTTCTGTGAGAGCCTCTTACAAAAGGCTGCATTGTGGCTCAATTGGCTCCCAAAGGGCTAGTACCTTCCACAAGTCTGATAACAAGAAGTAGGAGTAGTTCAAAGCCGGTAACATTTCATTATTTAAAAGCTGTTTGTGCTGGTAGCTTTTCTGTTCAACAATTCTTGTTTGCCTTTGCTTGACTCTAATGCAATCTGACTTTTAATGTTGATTCTTCAAGAAGAGAATAAAGAAACTGCCAGGAAGACCAATTGATAATGTACTTTGTAGCTGTCAGTCTGTAGATGATCTGTTATATCCCAGTAATTTTGCATCTCAAAAAGGTCTTTTTTTAATAATAAGTGCTGCACTTTTAAGATAAACAAGTAGGAAGTTTATATTCTGAATTTACACATTAATTACCTCTAAATTACTTAATTAAATTTAAAAGTTCATATCATCATTCATAAAGAATTCATGCCTTGAATTGTAAATAAAAATGTGAGTGCCTGAATATTAATTATTATTAATTAATAATGTAGTGAGATAAATTGAAAACCGGAATGAAAAAATCCTCTCTAGATCTTTTTTCTGCAGTGCATCAAGCAGCCAGATTTTTTTTTTAAAGAATAATTAGATGTGGAGACTGTCTAGGGGATCATTACTCCTAATTAACTTGGTTATTTACTGCAAATTAAGCATCATTTGTAAGCAGGGTGCTTTGCCTGTAATGTTTGTGCTTTTCAATACACTGGGTTATGGAAAATGTTCAGAATAACTGGAGCACTCCTTGGGAAGCTGATACTTGGGGTTTAGGCAGTTATGTAGCAAACACACTATTTTTTGTGACGCTTTTCCAGGTTTTCTGTTAAGTATTTTTATTGCTACAGAGGGAGGTAAAAAAGAAAGAGGACATCTCTCATCAATAGTAGTGTCGTTATGGATTGTTTCATACCATTATAAAATTTTGTAAACTCTTAAACTTTAATGCAATTACTGCTAACTTATGCTAGGAAATGTGACATCAAATTCAGTTGTGCAGTGTAGTATCCCAGTACAGCTCGTGGCACTGGAGAAAGAGATGTATACGGTCCCATGTGGTCGCGGTTTGAGCTTGTTTCTCAATACTTTAGGTCCACTATCTAGAAATAGCAGGACTGGAGTTAGCTGGAGATGCTTCTTTACTACAGGAAGATTTTTATAGTGATACCAAGGTGTCTAGCAGAGGGTCCTCAGAAAAATTTTTAGTTAGTATACAGCAATGTATTTACAATGGTAGTTAAAATACTGATCCTTATGATGGTCTCCATCAAACCTTTTGTGTTTTTTTTTTTAATATGGGCTTATGAGTCATACAAACATCAATGGCTAAACCTGTCCTATTTATTAGGCTAAAATACCATTTCATTACAAGGTCTCTTTAGTCTAGAGAGTCTTTTATTTGAACTGAAGATGTCTGGTCTAATGCTTAATTGTATCCATTGCAATTACAGAGGAAATAAAAGCCTGTGTAGGTGTGCCCATGCCACTTTAATCATGGGTAACCACGGCAGTCAGGATACAATGGCATGAACTTTAGCCTTGGCATCTGCATCTGTGATCCCTGGAAAGCTTGCATAGCTTGTGCTGAAGCTTGAGCTGCTCTCTCCACTAGAACTGTTAGCCAGAGAAGGGGCACGGGGAGTAAGAGTGTTTGGCTATGTCCAAAATGATCCTAATTTGTCCTCCCTGCCAAGCCATGTCTTTTACCTTCTTGGTGATCTATCAGGTTCTCTTCTGAGACTGTAACAATGTTCAGATCTCTATAATACAGCAATGTTGATGATGCTTCACACGTCCTGTGGTCTTTCCGAAGCTCTTATAATCTATAGATTGACCTGAATGTAGTATTTCCTATGCGATACAAAATGTAGAATGATGTCCAGCAAACAGAGTGGAGTCAGACAGAGAAGCTCAAATATCCTTTACATGTTATGCAAAAATGTTGGACAAAAGAATAAAATCATACTGTTATGTGTTGTCAATGCTGTATTGTGTCATGCCATCCTATGCTACAGGTCTATAACATTGTAATTAGGAGTCTGTTAATCACACACAGAGCTGGATAAATGTCATATTAATTTAACATCCTGAGTTTTTACACTTAAATGTTTGTTCAGAAACTGCAAAAAGCATTAAATGTAATTATATCCCTCTGTAATTTGCATGGTAAAATTGTACCTATCAAGCAAAAATTACTTCTGCTAAAAACAACATGGCAAAAGAGCAATTATTAATTGAATCTGCTCTTTAAAATCGTTTGACATCTACTGATGAAAGAAAGTATAGGAATGTAATGATAGTAAGATTTCTAAAGTGCCTCTCAGTGTGAGTTGCTGACATGACAGTTTTATCAGAGTCCTCATTTTGGTTGGAGTATCTAGATGTTTCAGTGGTAAAATAAATGATGATCAACATGACAAACCTTTTTTTAAAAAAGAGAGAACTCTGTTAATGCTTATATTATTTAAAAAAAAAAAAAAAGAAATAGGATATGAACTGTATGTCTTGCCTTTCTCTCATGTTCTAGTTCTTACCTATGTCCAAACACGGCACCGATCAGCTGCCCCCTTTACACCACGGATTCTCTTTTGTGGACCCCCAGGCAGTGGGAAGAGCCTGCAGGCAGCACTAATAGCTCAGAAATACGGTGTTGTCAACAGTAAGTTCTCAGTAAATATGCACTTTGCTCAATTCCCCCTTTCTCTCTTTTTGATCATTTATCTTTTGCTGTCTTTCTTACTTGCTCATAAAATTTCTCTGTTTGTCCATTGCTATGGATATCACATTTCTGAGGGAAGTGAAAAGTATTTCAATGAAGAAATATAAACCAATAGAGCATATATTCTGTGACAAACCAGCTCTAACTTTTTTTTTTTGTCATCATTTTTTATGCCCTTTACATCAGTATTTTTCCATGTGTTAGATTCCTGTATTCTTTCCTGTATTCTGAATTCTTCTGTGGATCAGTGGATCATGAGTAATGTCTTTGCAGTTTCAGCTGCCTCACCAAAATTGGGGCACTTTGAAAATAGAATTTACTCTGAACTTTAATGAAGACTCAGGTTCTGTGCATCTGAAGTAATGTATTAGAAAAGGAAGCAATTATTTAAAAGTATATTCTCTTTCTTCTGTAAAGGAGGCCCAGAAAATGCTATATGAGGTTTGTTCATGGTTAGAATGCTAATGTTAAAGTCCTATAACGTGAATACACAGCTTAGTGATAGGATCAATGCAATATGTGTTCTATAGTGTCTTCTAATAGTGGAGTAGCCATAAATTATTTTAAACAAATGTCTAATATCTGTAAAATTTGCTGATTAGTCATATCCTCTTTGTTAAGTAAAACACAAGTTTGTTTCATTAGCATTCTCTTTCAGAGTACACCAAATGAAAAAATCAAAATTAAATAAGTAGTGAGTTTTTTTATCTTCGGGACATTCTTTAATTAGCAGAACTGTTGTCCGTAGCAATGTGCCAGTTTGCTAGTATATTCCCTGAACTCCTGGTCAAGTCCAAGATTTAACTGAACCTGGATTTGGCTTTTCATGTGAATAACAACTTGAAGATCTGAGCGATATTTTTTTCAGTTACAGGTTTAGTAGATCAGCTCAGAAAAGAAATAAATTTTTTCAAGTCCGAACTCAAACCTTCAGAAAAAGCCATGTGCTTTCCATATAATCATTCCAAGGAACGGCTAGATTGTAGGTTTCTGCAGTTCCATTGAAGGCACAGAAAAAGCTATGAAACCGTCTGCCTATCAGTTTGGTGTTCTAGGTATTTTTGTATTTTAAATCTTTATTATTATTTTAGTGCTTAAAAAAAAGACACAAATATCACTAAAATGATATCCAGTGAACTTGAAAAAGGTAAATTTAAATTATTTTAAAATCTATATTACAATACTGACAAAGTACAAATAAAATTGATAGAATGTTTATGTTATCAGCTATTTTAATATTGCTTTGTTTTATCATTTCAAACTAAAGATAAATATTTGTAGATTTATTCAAAGCTATATTTTTTATAATTGTGTAATTGGCTTAATGAAAAATAAAACATGTTTAAATGTGTTAAAAATTAACTTGTTCTTCCGTTTCTGAATTTTTTTTTAACGTTGTTTCTAAAACTGCAAGTTTGATAGTGTTTTCATCTAGGTCAAAATTTGCATTTTTTTTCTTTCTAAAGTAACTACTATATGAGAGAGTTGCATCTCTTTCTACTAAATACGATTACCACTGCTTTACCCATGTGTGGGCTTCTAGGTATACTGTGAACCAAATGTTAGAAGAATTAAGTATTTAAAACAGAGTCAGAAGACCATCATTTTTCAGAGTAGTATTCAGCATATACTGATTAGGCCTTTGGGTTTGAAGCACAGGCTTAACAATTTAATCCTATGTTTAAATAGTCTTGTGAATTGGATAGAATTTAGGTGTATACATATTAGTTTTCTTAAGTTGGGGTCTATGCACTGAGTTTCTGTTATGTTTTTACACCATTTATTGTGAATATGAATTTGCTTCTCCAGGACAACTAGTGACTGTTAAAATTTGTGTTTGTCCCTTGTCACTTAAACTTCCTCAGCTTTGCCCAAGAAATATTCCTGTGGAGTATTCTTATTCTTGTTCGCCAAACCGTGGGATTAACAGTGATAAGGCGGATGAAAGGGCTTGCTTCTTTTTCCATTAAAGTCAGTGCAGCTGTAGATGTTGGTGCTATTGATTTCCAAAAAGGTGGAATCGACTACGATTATTAATCGAAAGGTCATGCAATAATGTACAGAGTAACTGTTATCTAATATTTACCAAAACCGAGTTGAAACTAGGACTTGTGATGTTGTGTAGCCTCTCTATGCCTTCGTTCCCTCCCCAGAAAATAAGGGTCAGGACTGTTGTATCTGACTCGCGTGGGGCAGTAAGACTCAATAACTTTGGTCAGAAAGTGCTATCCAAGCCCAAAGCATCAGTATTTCATGTACAACTGTCCTGACTAAAACTTTTAAATCTGCATCTCCTGGTGTTCTGCGTATTTGAAGTCAATGATAATATTGCATTAGCACAGTTTTTTAAATATAATACTTACATGATCATTAAATGATCCAGGGAGTCACTTCCTTGAACTGCGTATTATCCAGCACCTCCAACAGTGCGGTTCAGATGCTGTTCAGCATTTATTTATTCAGTAATTATAAGTTTATAAAAAGTGAAAACCGCTAGCAATCCCTTGAGTTATTATTTCAGAAACATATTTGATTAATATCTTTCTCTCTCTGTTTTTAATATGTTCTTTGCCAAATGTATTCTTTTTTATTCAGTATTCTCCTCTGCTCAGTCTCTTTGCTTTTTGCTCTGCTTGGCCAAAAAAAAAAATATCCTAACAACAAACCCAAAAACCCTACAACTTTTATTTTATTCAGTGACCTTATTCCAGTATGCAGCTTCTGGGTTTTTTTTCTTTTCTTTGTTGCTTCCTTTTTAAAATTTAACCTTGTGTCTTTTTTGTTCTTCCTTCCTGTTAGTTTGCTGTGGGCAACTGCTAAAGGAAACTGTTGCAGACAAGACAAAACTTGGAGAACTCGTTAAGCCTTATATTGACAATGGATACCCAGGTAGGGCACGTTGTTGTCTCATTACACTGTAGTTACAAATTTGTGGCGAAAAATAAATTATGAGTGAATTTTTCTTGGTCAGATTCTAATCTGAGTTACATCAGAGTAATCTGGAAGTTGATTAATTCCATTCATTACGTGTGATTTGTAGCACTGCGTAATAGAAGTTAGATTTCTAAGCTCTTCGATATCTCAAAGTAAATTCAGATTTCTTGTACACATTCCAAAATTTGAATTCCATTTTTTTGTCTAAATCAAAATCAGAATTCTGATATAGATGTATAATTTTAAAATGTTTAAGCTGCTATTTAAAGCACAGTATTGCGTTTCATTTTTATTTCAGGTGAGCTATAAGAAAGACTCTGCTTTTATATATGGATTCTGACTTTTAGAATGCTCCTGTAGATTCCTCTACTTCCATGCAAATATTTTAAACTTAAAAACAAAGTTTCTTTGCACTTCATTTCTATCAGCATTTTTGGTTGTAGGAGGAGACTACCACAAAGAATATCTAAGCATACTTTGCTTTTGGAAGGCTTTGCAGAGGTTTCAGATAAATCATAAATACTGTAAGCTCCTTAGGGCAGCAGCTTAAACTTACATGTTTGTTAGTTGTCTTGCACGAGGATAGCTCTCTGTATGTGGTGGGTATTAAAAATCAGAAAAGATCTGTAGTTCTAAAGGATAAGTTGTATTTCAGTAAGGTGGAGGAATGTTTATTTTGCTGAATTACAATGGCCTGGAAGAGGAACTTTCAGTCCTGTTTCTGGCAACAGGCCAAATGGTTACCAACGATACAAATATAAGCAGACAATCTTGCTGAAGATTGAGAAATCTCTGTTAAGCTTCAGTATTAATGGAATTTTGAGCAAACTCCCCCTGAGCAAAGAGAAATCTTCATTGTCTTTTATTTTTGGCAAGGAAAGTCATTTGGTGAGGTGGAAAGCTTGGAAGTCCCCTTTTTTGCACAATAGCTTAATTCTGAGACTGAATTACACAGATCTGAAACATGAGCCTATAAAATTAACTGGGGTTCCCTTGATACCATACCAAGAGATTCAGTACTTTTCTAAGCGTTTCAGAAAGACCTTTGGCAGCCTGCAGCTTTGGGTATTCTATCCCGCTGTCAGTCACTTTATCAAGCCACCAGGTAATACACTTTAACTCTAAACGTCATCTCTAGTGAATGGATTGCATTTATTCGTAATACAGTAACTTGACTTGTTCAATGAATTAATTTTCTGTGGCAGGCACTGTATTTGTGGGACTAGGAGCTTATGTGGGAACCGTGGGAATGGGAAGCGTGAATCTCTACAGCCTGAAAGAGAGAAAAGCTCGGTCCTCTGTAATACAGGCACAGAAATCTAGGAGAGGATTTTCTGATTTAGAGATACTCCTAATCAGAATGGCCATTTAACTCAAAAGTTAGTGTATATTACTTGCAATCTATCCTAGATCTTTATGTATGGAAATACCTTTGTCCTGGGTATAGTCTGATTGACCTGAATGTGGCTACTTGTGTATGAAGTCTAACTCACATGTGGAGATCATTTTAGGCTCTGGGCCTCTTGTCTTTTCCATGGTATCCATTAATTCCAGAATCTTGTGTGTATACTGTAATTTCACTTTCTTCTCATCTCTGTGAGGTAGAGGACAGCCGTTGTAAATACCTCACTTCCCAAATTTCAGTTATGGCTGAAATGGGAGTTTGGATGATCTATTTGTTCAAAGATAGGTCCTTTAAGAGCTTTCTTTACTAGAATGCTCTTTGTGTTTTATAAACTTCATCTTAACCATTAAATTTCCTTAAAGGAGATACCAAAGCATTCCCAGGAGAATAAAATAATTGCACAGATTGTAATTTTTAGCCAGTCTTAAAAATATGCACATCCTTAGTCCAAGGAAACTGCTTTCATTTCTGGAAAATGAAATTGAAGTTGTAATTCCTTTCTTCCTCCAAATTAGAAATTATTTCAGATTTAGATTAATTTTTTTAATATAGCATGCAAGGATAAAGCTGTATGATGCTTCTGAATGTTAATGGGAATCATAACTATATTTCTGTACATTGTGCTAAAAAATTCTCCCTTAGTTTTTGCCTGTATGCACATATATTTTATTTGGTGGGACATACTACAAAATTAAGGGCTGAATAAAAGTAAATATTATATTGCAATACCAGAAATAATAAGTTCTGTCATTTTGCTAATCCTCCTCTCGCAGGGATAACAAAGAATGAATTTACATTAGTAAACACTAACAAGAATTCATTACTGCCCTCACAAGAGGCTTGGAGAAAATGAAAGAACATAGTGTACTGAAGAGGAAAGATGAGCAAAGGCTCCTTACTCTCTTGCAACAGAGTTACAACCGGGTTAATACAAAGGAAAGATTCTCACACTATTATTGACTACATGCAGTTTCAAGCAAATCGTGTTTGAATAGAGTTAGTTTAGTCAATAGCAGACAGTGTTATAACTGGAAAAGCAATTAGAACTTCAAAATTTTCATTGCATTCCTAGTTATGGACCAAGTAAGCATAGTTGTTCCTCTGGGCAAGGAATCATGCAAGTGATGTTGTCACAGAATACCCTGAAACCACAGACAGACCATGAGAAATGTTGTGCTCAAATCATTACTAGTCAAAAGGAAACTAGTGCCATAAAATCTTGAGGGCACGCCTCATATATTCTCAAAATGCTTGCCCTGGGGACCAATCTCAGTGTGGTTTCCCTTCTTGTGGTCACAATTGATTGCATACAATTAGTTGTTTAAGATATGGCAATGGGGTATGTTGTGGTGTCATAAAAAGGCTCAAACCCCAGTTTATTCAAAGCTGACTCCTTATTGAGTTATTGAGGCTGTCCACCCTCTATTTGGTTCTAGTTCTGGTTGACTAATTCGTATCTCTTCTTGGTTTTAGGATTCACAAACATTCTTTGTATTGATTTTTCCTGTAATGCTGCTTCATGTATACAACATATATTTCAAGAACAGCCCAGACAATTCTATTATTCACCCCAGAAGGCAACTCAGTGCATTCCCATTTTCTGTATTTTCTAGTGTTTGCTGTCTCATAAAGACTTTATCTCTTGCTTTATCAAACTTCCCGATTTTGTATATGGTGATTTATTTTGCTTAATGAAGGTAGCATAGATATTTTTGAGCCCATTAATTTTTTAATTCCCAGGACATTCTAGGCTACAGTTGGTGCACACTCGATATTCAAAAATGCATTTTCAGTGAGAAGTTCAGCAACCTGCCTGCTTTCTGTCTGTCATAAACATAGAGTTGTTCCTTGGACAACCAGTCTGAAATGCACAGACTTTTCCTTTAGGATATTGGGGGTTTCACTGGATTCTAGGCAATTATAGCTAACTATACTCTGGGCAAAAAGTTACCAGCATTGGAGTCTGATACCAGCTGTCTGGTCACTAACTCCAGTTAGTTTAAATCGTGGTCCGTAATGCTAAGTGTAGCACACACCATTTGCTTGGGCAGCCTAGGAAGACCTCCATTTGGAGTCAGACAAATTAATTCATGCAGCTTGATTCCTTCTGAAATGTTGTGAAGAGACTGTTCCATAGACTGGTCCTTCCCTTCTAGTAATTCAGGCTATGGGCAAATGATGCGTATGTAGACAGCCCGTTCATAGACCCCACTGGCTTGATGAAGACCTTTATGCAGAATTCGTGTCCCCAGGTTGCTGTAATTCTGAGGAGGGCCAGACTGTTTTAGACCTGTCTTGTTGAAAACATGGGCATGCATTAATTTGAAGTTCCCTCTGCAGTATCTAAGTTCACCATTTCAAAGGTGCCTGTCAGAATTTGATACCCTGTGAGGAAAAAAAAATCTGCAGAAAGCATTTCTGCTTCCCCCCCTAAGTGTCCCCAGTGTTTGCCCCTTGAGATGTTTGCATTTTATTAATGAAAATGGAAGCAGAAGCATTTTGGCATTGGGGGGGCATCACAAAAATAGGAAAGGTCATCAGTCAGTTGAAAAGAAATATCCATGCCATTCTGTCAGTTCAATTGTATGTGTTTTCATGGTGAAGTAGCACGGAGTGGTCACTGCTAATTAATATATCTGTTTGCAAGGCTGCAATAAATGGAGCCAAGAAAAGTGAAATGACAGAAAAACAGCATGAAGAGCAGGGGGGAAAAAAACCAAACGCTTCCAAACCAGTAAGACTCTGCTTTTCAGCTGGGAGAACTGCTATTAGTTTGGGTAATTGTTTATTTCCACCAAAATGAAGATTTAGTTGGTAAAGAGAGCTGATTCATGGAAGACAGATAACATTGCACTGTTTGGAGCCTGTTAGAGTTGAACACACACAATCTGTGTTGTTTTTTCCCCTTCCTTTTTCTATTTTTTAAGTAGTAATATCTGAAGCTGTCCCCAATGGCAGTCTGCATGTGGGGGGTAAAATCTGGAATTCCCTAATTTCTCCTGTTTTCTAATAAAAACTATTACTGTACGAATGTACATTTTTTTCCCCCTTATTTAAAATTGGAATGGTTTTAAAGGGGTGCTTTTTGGTGTAGCCTCTGAAAGTTGGGGTCCCCTGGTGATTGCGATCACAGCCTCGCTGAAAGCACTTGGGGGATGATTTTGACATCAAATTAATATTCTCATCACTAAGTGTGAAGTAAAGATTTGACAATAGAGCAGCTTCCTCTTTGTTTAAAAACTTGCAACGAGTTTCAGAGTTGAAAGGCTGAGTAAATCTTTATATCTGAGGAGGTAAGCTTAGTGTTATTTCTTGTTTTTAACAGCGCTGTACTGGCGAGCTGCAAGCTGTCTGAACATTGGAGAGAGACCCTTTGGGAGCTCCATTGGTTTTCAGCAAGTCTTTGCATGCAGTGTGTTTGTACTAGCTGAAGACAGCGCATGGCTCTCTAAATAATTTACAAGTTGATTAATAGACTCACATGGGTATAATTAGAAGAGGGAGAGACAGCAGCTACAGTAACGGGTACAGTGCTTGGGGGAACTAGAGA